GAGAACAAAACCTTTAAGATAATTACTGGGATGAAATGACAAACACGTGGTTCATAACTAGAAATATATACTATCCTTACCCTGTTCACTGTAACGTTACCTCCTTGCCCATTAGAATGTTCAGAAACCAAATAATACATAAGCAACCTCTTAAGCAACCGATAAAGAACAGAACAGAACTAAAATAATCTCACAAACTTCAACTCCTGTATAAAAGTTAGGTCCATCAATTTAAAAACACATTCGGCTCAAAACAAGTGAAATCAAACATCACAATATTTCATTCACAGATACCTTATTTAATTGAATTGTATGCCTTATCATCATAAAAAATCTCAACAGATTTATCATACCTGTACCATTGTAGTGAACTGGATTGTGTATCTCCGTCTGCCTGCTGTGAATCGTACACTTGTCTCCCCAGCTTTCCAGGCCGTATCAATTGTGTTATTGTTGCTTGCACTATAGCTACACCAACGTCCAGATCGATCATCAAACCAACGCCAATTACTGCTGTTAGCCTGCAGAAACTATACATAAAAATGCAGTCAATTACTGAACAAAGAAGGCCAAAGCTGAAACCAGACCCAGACATAGCTTCCAAACACTGCCTTCTACGATCTCAGGTAACCACTGCCCTCCCCAAAAACCATCACTTGACCTGAAAGGACTAGACTGAGGCCCACCCTGTCTTCTCATCCTCCTCTGCACCTTGTCTAACACCTTGTCTAAGGTCACCATCTTCTTTTAGGTGACACAATAGACCAAGATTCGGTACAATCTTCTCTGTATACCTTTTGGAGACAGATTCTTTAGTCACTTGCCACCATTACTGTCCTGTTTGTCTATCCCTGATTAATTTAGTAACTTTATGAAAAAAGATTATTTCTTATGATCTCTTACACTCATATTCCTAAAGAATATGTACTTTAGGATACTGGACCCCACCAAAGTCCAAATCCAGAACTCTTAGCCCTTCTAATGTGCCACCAAGAATTTCTGTTTCTCAGTGACATTACTTACTCCTAATAACCTGCTTTTCAAGTCCAAACAATTACAATTTCGTACTCAATCAAAATTATGGCAGTTACGGTATACTAACCAGCTCATCTGAGCTTATACAAACCAGTTGATCATTTTCCTTCTTTTCTTAAAGAGTTAATTCACTGGGGGTGGTCAGTGCACTGTTTCCTATCCCTTAAAATTAAGCCTCTACTTCCCACCTCTCCCTGTGCCACGTAACTACTAACTACAACATCTCAAAATTTACTCTCTTGGTTTCCCTCCTGCTTGTGTGAATGTTCTCTTCTCAGTTTCCTTTATTGTTTCATGATCTATAACAAGCACCGTAACTATGTTTCTCCAGGGTTCTGTAACCCTTCCCTTGAAAAGTACTTTGTATTTGATGATACACAGATACATACAAATGTTTTATATTAACTTGCTTAGTATAGGAACAGTTTTATATTTTGTACTTGTACCTTAGCAAGATGCCCAGCACACAGACAAAATAAATCAATATTTGCTAACCAGTTGCCTCTTCAGAAGACAGTCATCATTTGCTCATGAGAAAAGTTCACTCTAGGATGGTATCTAAAGCTTCCTCCTACTAGGGAAACTGAGATTAGCTGAATCATTTAGAGTTGAGTGATCATGATCTTTTGAAAAATTCAGTTCACTCCTAAATTCTCTCAAGTGATTATGAGTAAACACTGAAGAAAGATTTTTGACACATTCTGCTAAAGAGTTAGGGTTTCCACCCTTTTTGGGTCTTTCCTTTGGTTTCTGGACTTAAATGAGATTCTTCAATTTTTGTGTGAGGCTGATCCCTTACCTTATCCATCTGCACTCTCCTCTTGGAGGAAATAGCTGTTTTCTCATAAAAGTCTATCAGAAGAAGTACTGGAGTGATCCACCTGAAAAGAGATGAACTGTGAGGACAAGTAGAAGACTGCTGTACTGGTAGAAAACACAAAGGCTGGTGCAACAAAAAGGCTCGGAAACAAATATCAGATCCTTGACCTGTGAAAATCACATGACCCTAAGGAGAACTGGGAAGAATCTAAACATGCTAGGAGGTAGAACTCGAAGGAACTGAAGACCACCTAGTTTAAATCCCTCTAAGTACACTTATAAAAAAAGGCACAAGAAAGACAAAGACACTAGGCCTCACAACCAGTTAACAGGTTCAGAGATGTGGTGTTGGAGGCAGTGACTCACTTTGGAGTGTGGATTTCCTTTTGTTCCTTGGCAGCCTGTAGGCAGGGCTGTACTACTTCTAGC